ATGAAATGATATACGGAGTATAATTCATTTATGTTATGTAACCCTTCTCTTAGACTTTATTTCGTAATGGTTAACCTTGCACTATTATATAATTCAGATGCTTAATCTTGCACTATTATACAATAATGGGTACAACATTCTTCAAATTAAAATTATTTTGTGGCTCACGATTTACAAACATTATATTATCATCATTTGTTACTACTCTAAAAAAATCATTTGTTACTCAATTATTATACAATCGTCATCAATGGGCAAAATATATGATCCCCACATTGGTTCAGATTATCGAAAAAATTGATTTAACACCTCGTATTGATATGAGTCTCTTCTCTCAAATTAATTTTTAAAAAAATATGATTTCCTTTACTTGGTTTAATTAAAAAACAAAAAAAATGATCTTATAAATATTCTTCATTTTATTAATTTAAAAAAAATAGATTACCAACTTTATGATTCAAAAAAATATGATCCTTATATTTGTAAAATAAATATTGTTTGTCTCTCGTGCATTATTATGATTATCCTCCCTCGTATTGATTATAAAGAGTTTTTAAATAAAACTAGAATTAGATCTAGCAGATTAGATTTAATCAGATAAGATGCTTTAAGATCAAATCAAATTCAATTAGATCTTATTGCTTACATATTTCATGTGAGCTAATACATCTCAATTTAACATGTTTATATGTTGTTTAGATGATATCTAATAAAAATCAGATCTCATCATATCAGATTAGACTAGCTCAAATTAAAAGAGTTTTAATTATAACTAATCGGGCTAATTAAATCAAATCGGACAAAAACATATCTAATCGAAATAAATCAAAGTCAAATCCAATAAGATGAGATCAAATCTTCAAAAATAAGATGAGATTAAATTCAAATCTAGTAAGATCAGATCAAATTTTTAAAAAAAACATATCGGATCTAGTTAGATTGAATCAGACCAAAATAGATCTGATCAGATCAAATCAAATTCAAATTTATTAAGATCAGATCAAGTCTTCAAAAAAAACAAGTTGATTATATAGGTCGTGTCCGATTTTCCTGATATAATCTATATATGCATCAAATTAGATCAAATTAGATCGAATTAGACCAAAACAGATCAAATCAAATTCAAATCTAATATGATCAGATCTAATTTTAAAAAAACAATTCACTTGTGTTGGTTGTGTCTTATTTTTGTGATATAAACATTAAATGCATCATATCAGATTAGATCGAATCAGACCAAAACAGATCTAATCCTATCAAATCAAATTCATATCCAATAAAATAAGATCTAGTCTACAAAAAAATCAATTTACTAGTCAAGATTGTTTCTTATTTTCCAGGTATAATCTTTAAATGCATAAGATATGAATTTAGTTAATACTCCGTATTATTAAAGTTTACCTCCCAAACTCTACAATTTTAATTTCCCTCCATCTAAATTCATTTTCCCTCCCCTAAATTTCATTTTTCCTCTTTCTAAATTCATTTTCCCTCCACTAAATTTCATTTTCCCTCTTCCTAATTTCTCTTTTCCCTCTTCTAAAAAACTCTATCTCTGGTCGATTAAGGTCAGAAGAAACCCTATCTTTTCGCCACTTCTTCTTACCTTCATGCCTGGAGCCAGGCCTGTCGATCCTCGTCGCTCCTATCTTCTTCGTCGCCATAGAGATACCTCGACGCCGGGCAGTGGTCTTCCGATCCCCATAGAGTACCGCAATCCCTACTGCCTCCAATTTACAGGTTTTACTTTATCTTGAAAATACTCTAATGGTTAAATTATGTGAATTTCTTTGCATATCTCTTGAAAATACTCTAAATTCTTCAATTATATGAATGAAAATATTCTAATTCTTCAATTATGAGGATTTATTTGCTTAATTTTTGTTACCTCAATTTGATTTTTGATTTTCTTTTTATTGATATACTTTTAGATCAGATTTTTAAATAAATTTTTTTATCTAAAAATATGAAAGAATCAAAATTATTTTTTACTAGTTTTTTTGTTCACACCTACTAGGTTTACAGTAGGTTTGAAAAACAAATTTT